TTCATCCGATCAATCACGAGTTCTATACTCGCCCAGTCGGAATCCAACCGGTCAATCACGAGTTCTTCGAGTTGCTTATACTCGCCCCGCCGGAATTCATCCGATCAATCACGAGTTCTATACTCGCCCAGTCGGAATCCAACCGGTCAATCACGAGTTCTTCGAGTTGCTTATACTCGCCCCGCCGGAATTCATCCGATCAATCACGAGTTCTATACTCGCCCAGTCGGAATCCAACCGGTCAATCACGAGTTCTTCGAGTTGCTTATACTCGCCCCGCCGGAATTCATCCGATCAATCACGAGTTCTATACTCGCCCAGTCGGAATCCAACCGGTCAATCACGAGTTCTTCGATGCCTCAAAAATGACACATGTTATAAGTCGTGAAAACAAAATAATTGAAATGACATTCATTAGGAATTGAATGGGTGGTGCCTCATTAAAAACCTTCTCAGCAAAAACCCCTCTCATTTTTACGGGGACAAAATACTGAGTTAGGAAAAGAGTGCACCTAGTACAAATGTTTATGGGACTAAGCCTTCCTCGTCTTCCTTACTTAGAGATACACCAATCTTGACGGCTTTCCCCTCGGCCAGGGTAACCTCCTTTATGTCCTCCGCTGGGGCTGGTCGGGTATCAAAGTGACTCACTCTCGGATCCAACTCAATTGACTGAACACCCTGATCAACCTGCGTCACATATAGGTGTCGCCTCGCCCTCAAACTGTCTTCGTAACATTTTCTCGCCACCTCTTGATCGACACAGACGACGCCCACCTTTCCGTTGGGCAAAGGATATTTCAGCTTTAAATGGGGCGTGGAGACGACCGCTCCCAACTTGTTTAGTGTCGGCCGACCGACTAGTATGCTGTAGGATGATTGAGCGTTCACTACCAGGTATCGGATAGTGACAGTCTTCATGTTGTCCCCCTGGCCGAACGTTGTCTCCAAGTCGGCGTATCCCCTGGCTATTACCTGATCACCTGCAAAACCGACCAACGTACCTGCATACGGCATGAGGCGATCAGTTGGAATCTTCATGCCGACGAAAGCTTCCCAAAACATTATATCCGCCGAACTGCCTTGGTCCACTAATACTCGTTTTACATTATACCCAATGACGATTACTGAGACGACTATGGGGTCGTCCTCGTGGGGAGATACCCCATCGAAGTCGGCGTCTGAGAACGTGATGGGTGGCCGAGAGGGCTTCACCCAATCCGAGACCGATAAAACTGACCGAGAGTATCTCTTCCGAGCTGCTGAAGTCGGTCCTCCTCCCGCAAATCCCCCTGCAATGGTGTTGAAGTCTCCATGGACAGCCCGCTGGTGAGCTTCCGTAGTTTTTTGCGGGGAATCTCTCGGTGGAGATCTCCCTTCACGCCTTCCTCTCCCGGTGTCTTCTCCTCCCGGCCTGCGTCGTCTGTCGGACGAGCCCTCATCCTGCTTTCCGGCAATAAACTTCTTCAAACGGCCCTCCTTGATAAGGCGTTCAATCTGCCTACCCAAAACAAAACAACTCTCGGTCGCGTGTCCGTGGGTTCGATGAAACTCGCACCACTCGGATTTGAGAGGTCCCAGCTGTCTGTCAGTCGGCGCGGGAAACTCGAAAAGTGATGCGCTGCTCACATCATGCAATACGTGACATCTGGGGACATTAAGTGCAGTAAATTTTTCTTCCTCACTATTACGTGTCAATTCGGCCCCCGACCTGGAGACATAATCAGCCTTCCTGTAGTTACCCTCTTTAGTATTGTAACGATCATGTCGCTTATTCCAATCCGACCGTGGCCGGAGATGCTTGTTACCTTCCTTGTTGTTATTTCCGCCCTCTCGGTTTTCTGCTTCCCTTGCTGATCTGCCCCGCCTCCGTCTTAATGTGACTCAG